TTTAGGAATTCACCAGCGTTTAGACACAAGTGGATTAAGCTTTATGAACAAAATGAGAAAAGAAGTCCAGAGATGGAATCCTAGGGACTACTCTTGTTTAGTTGGTGGGCAAGATGCAAAGGAGACAGGGAGGAACAGCCAGAAGTATGGAAAACTCAACAGTAACTGCTTAAGGAGAGTGACCTGAAAAAGTGCTGCAGAGAGATCAAGGAAGGGCTGAAGAGTGTCCTTTGGATTTGATGATTAGAAAGCCATTAAGAGTTTCTGTAAGAGCAGCTTCTGGAGTTGGGAAGAGCCAGTTGTCAGGGGGTTAAATAGTGTCCACAGAGTGTAGATCATCAGCTCCCAAATACTGTCAACTCATGACAAAAAATTATACTATTATTCCATTCAAGTAGTAAAAGTAAAAATATAGTATCTTGTAAAAAAAAAAAAAAAGGAAAAATTGATTAAAGACCTTGCTTTATTTTGCAGTTATGCCCTTAAAAANTACTATTATTCCATTCAAGTAGTAAAAGTAAAAATATAGTATCTTGTAAAAAAAAAAAAAAAGGTAAAATTGATTAAAGACCTTGCTTTATTTTGCAGTTATGCCCTTAAAAAAATAATAAAGTCCTTTTATGACATAATAGTGATGGGAAGAGAGCGAGGTTCTGTTAAATGTACATCTTCGCTTAGTTAAAAAAAAATGGCAGCCGTATACTGGTTATTCTTTTTGACCACATCATTTTACTGATCTATAAAGTCAGGAAAGAAAAGTATATTGTCTGTGAGTATAAAGACAGCTGTAGATTGAAATTAATGAAAAGTGTGAGTATTTTTCTGTTCTGGAAGAATAGTCGAGGGAGAGGTTGATAAAGGGGAGCAGGAGGAAACATAAGTAACTGGATTAGCTAAAGTGAATCCTAGCACTACTGGAAGGGTTTTCTTTGGAGACCTCCTTCCTCCAATTTGGGAGGAAAAGAAAGAGGACAGACTTAATGTCTGATCAGGGAAGAGGAAAACATTGAATTCACTTGAGGTGACTCCCTTTTTTTAAAATAAGCAAATTTGGGGCTGGCTGGTTAGCTTACTTGGTTAGAGCGTAGCATTGATAATGTCAAGGTCAAGGGTTCAGACCCCTTTACCTGCCAGCTGCCAAAAATCAAAAACAAAACAAGCAAATTCATGTTTTTAGAGTCAGGGAGGGAAGAGGACAGGGATAGATTTAGGGGTCATTTCAATAATGAAGATCTGGGAGAGTAGCTGGGAAGAATAGGAGAGAGAAACAAAAAACTTATGCAGAGCTGATGTGGTTTTGTTTTGAGCCCAGCTAAAACTGTGAATGTAATGGAATTACTCAAATTGTTTTCTGGGATTTAACATGTAGAACTATTTTGAAAGAAAATTAGACAAAACAAATTATTAATTAGATAAAATTTTGAAACAAGCAGGTGCAAGGAGTCTGCTGGCAAAAAGGTTGGAAACCACTGTAGTACTTCGTTCTTCTGTAATTTTAATGGGTGAGGCATTTTGCATTCATCTGTCTTCCTGAAGGAGGATGTCATCAGCCAGTCTAGGGGCCTACCCAGCATATCCACTTGAGCACAGTATTTGCTTGCAAAATAGTTTCAACTCTTTTTTAAAAAAATCTAGTACAGATATTTCAATCATTTCCTTAAACTTATTCTTCCCAACCAATGTTTGATACCTTCGACATTTCTACCTCCTTCAAAAGTGTTTTTTGGCCTCAGGTGGATGGTGGGGGA